CAGCACCCCCACATGCAGAGTTATATAAAGGAGAACAAACAATACAGTGAACACAACCTAGCAAGTGTAAGCATGCAGGTATATGTATAGAGAGTACAGTACAAGCAGAGTCAAGAAGTAAGCAAGTGAGGCACAGTAGGTACAAGGCCTAGAACAGTACAGAAACGCTGATGATCACAAGGCGGAAGTGCCTTGGTGAACACATCAGCAGTGTTGGCCTGAGAGGCCACGTAAGCAAGACGAAGCTGACCACGCTGCTGCAACTCTCGAGCAAGGAAGTAGCGTAGAGCAATCTGCTTCGTTCTGTGCTCCAGTCTGTGCTCCTGACTGAAGGCAAGCATGGCCTTGTTGTCGCCGTACAGAACTGGAGGAGAACGAGGCGCCTCTCCCAAGTCGGTCAGCAGGTAGGTGAGCCAGCGTAACTCCTGTGCAGCCATGGCCCCAGCGATGATCTCAGCCTCACAGCTGGAGCTGAGAACAGAAAAAGAGCGGGTAGACCGCCAAGAGACAGAACCGGAGCCAAGACTGAAGGTGTAACTCTGTGACGACCGCTGCGTAGCCAAGTCGTCAACCCATGAAGCGTCTGCATGACCAGTGAGGACAACTCAAGCCCGTCCTCCAAGCACGAGCCCCATGCCCGACGTACTGCACAAGTAGCGCTACACCCTCTTCGCAGCATCCCAGTGCACTTTTCGGTGCCTACCGGGAGCCACGTAGCGAGCCAGAAGACTGAGAGGGTATGCGAGGTCAGGTCGTGTGCAAGTCATCAGGTACATGAGGCAGCCCACAAGCTCTGGATACGGGCCACTCGGCTCTACGGACTCGTCCGAAGGTGGAGCTGAGAGCGAGTGACCGGTAGGCAGAGGAGTGGACTGTGGCGAGGAGTACGTGAAGCCGAAGCGCTGAAGGACCTGCTGCACCATGTGCGACTGAGTCAAGGTAATGGTGCGCTGTGCTCTGTCCCGGGTGATCCGCAAGCCAAGATAGCTTGTGAGGTCACCCAGGTCTGTGCACGTGTGTCTCTTCTGCAGCACAGACCTGGGTGACCTGTGCGGAGGGCATCCGCCAGACGTTCACGCTTCCGGCCTCCCCACAGCAAAATGGGATTGCTGAGCGCCGCATTGGCATGGTCATGGACGTCGCTTGTACGTCCATGATCCATGCGGCTGCTCCCCATTTTCTGTGGCCGTTCGCGGTTCAGTACGCTGCGCATCAGATCAACCTTCAGCCTCGTGTCTCCTTGCCGGAGACCACACCTACTCTGCGGTGGACGGGGAAGGTTGGCGATGCGTCTGTGTTCCGTGTCTGGGGATCTCGAGCTTTTGTCCGCGATACTTCAGCGGACAAGCTGTCCTCCCGTGCCGTTCCCTGCGTCTTCCTTGGCTTCCCCCCTGACGCACCCGGGTGGCAGTTCTCAGAACCCGGGCCGCACGTGGGTGTCGCCGAACGCATTAATCATTGGTTGACGTGAACTGCGGAACAATCGCGCGCTAATTGCACGCCAGCGCAACACATTCACGGTATCGCACGCGGTGCCAAATGTCCCCACATGCTCCATGTACCTAGACAACATTCAGCAGACACCCATATCCCTATCAACGCGTTCAATGCAGCGTGATTCTGTGTATGGCAATTATTGGGGGTTGCGCAGCCGTCGGTAACACTCCGCGACCTCCCCCGCCACCCCCCATGTTCCTTTGCGGGCCTGGCAGTGGTGGTGCGTATGACGCGGCTAAACCCTGGGCCCCCACCAAAATCACCAATCATATTTGATCATACATAATTGTCGCCCTGGTCGTACAATGTCGCGGTACATTGGTTGATTGGGACATGAGGACTCGAGACATTTGAGGGCGACTCGGGCCAAAATCGATGCGTGGAATGTACCCTTAGTGGCTGGAATTTTCAAGCCACTGACCCCATGCGTAGCAGGTGTTGTGGGGTGCCGACCACAATTTAAGATGAAGGGTTTTTTCGTGGGTGGTTTCATGCACTGAGTTGTTGATAACAAATTCCACGACTGGCAACAGCTCATCCCAATCATCTTGTGTTGGGCCAATAAACGAACGAAGCATTTGTTCAAGAGTGCGATTTGTGCGCTCGGTCTGCCCACCCGTTTGAGGGTGGAATGCATAACACATTTTCAGCTTCGTCCCTAGTGACCGAATGACCTCCTGCCAGAAACGGCTTGTAAAACGAGGGTCTCGGTCAGACACTAGCACACGGGGCAAACCATGTAAACGGAAAACATGTGCAACAAACAACTTAGCCGTATCTTCTGCTGATACGTCCGTGGTTGTAGGCACGAAGTGCACCATTTTGGTCAAACGATCCACGAAGACGAGGATCGCTGATCGCTGTATGACCATCTCGTGTTTTAGGGAGATCAGTGATGAAATCCATTGATACACTCTCCCAGGGGTCAGGGATTTCGAGTGGTTGAAGCAAACCACCGGGTTTTTATGTGTACGGTTTGTTACATGATGCACCGAGTGGGACTCCCTTCCCTGCCCTCATTGAGTTACTTTCACGATCGGAAGCATTACACTATTTCACGTCCGAAAGCGTTACAGTGTTTCTTGGATGAATCCGATCGTCAGAATTCGTTTCATGTATGCCTCCCAAGCTGCCAGCGACAAACAGATTCGCTACATGCAAGTAACAAACTCCTCGCGACTTCTCAAATTAATATCTAGGGCAGGAAAGAAGAAACTAAGGGACAAAACTATCTAAGGGCGCGTTCTTTGCTGGTGTCTAGATTCTTGACACCAAGCTATGAAAGGTTGGGATTTTGGTAGATTTTGACGATGATGACGTGGAATGATCGAAATCGTCCATTAGCCTTGTGTCAGCGAGCCTGACACCAGCCAAGAACCTACCCTAAAATGTGGGACAAGGTCGAAATCGTCCATTAGCCTTGTGTCAGCGAGCCTGACACCAGCCAAGAACCTACCCTAAAATGTGGGACAAGGTCGAAATCGTCCATTAGCCTTGTGTGAGCGAGCCTGACACCAGCCAAGAACCTACCCTAAAATGTGGGACAAGGTCGAAATCGTCCATTAGCCTTGTGTCAGCGAGCCTGACACCAGCCAAGAACCTACCCTAAAATGTGGGACAAGGTCGAAATCGTCCATTAGCCTTGTGTCAGCGAGCCTGACACCAGCCAAGAACCTACCCTAAAATGTGGGACAAGGACTCTTATCAACACGCATTGGTTTCAAGACTACACACATTGCAGTCCGAAACTAGGAGATGCAGGCAAGAAATTGGGGGCGTTCCGAGAATCGAACTCGGGACCTCTCGCACCCGAAGCGAGAATCATACCACTAGACCAAACGCCCACATTAGTGTATTTGAAATTAGTACATAATAATATTTAAATATGTTCTAATTGAAACACCCGTTAGAACACTTTGCGTGCGTGCTAATGCTTCCAAAAAAAACACATTTCTATAAAATATATGAAGCTTTATATAAATGCAACACATTAATTAAATAAAAGTAAAAACAATTATACTAGTTGTCATAGGGCCAGCTGTAGAGCATGCAAGTAACACATGATGGGATGTCTTGATGGGGTGTCTTGAGGGGGGTTCTATGTGTGTTGCATTTGGGTTCTTTTACTCATGTGCTTCTTCGTGAGTGGGGCAACACATAGGGAAAAATGGATGTCTGTGGTTGGGGTGGGGATGGGGAAAGAGAGATGCGGATTGAGATCGAGGGAAGTTTTTGGGTTATGTGATGACATAGGAAACGATTGGTACACGTCCTTATGTGGTAAGGCGAATCCTAGTAATGGCCTATGCCTAGTGTGCTCTGGTACAAAATGTGGAACAGTGTATTACTAACCTTTTGGAACTCTCAGTTCATGGTGAATAGAACGGGACTCATGAATTTAGTAGCATCGAGGCGATGCGGGTGAATTCGCCGCAAACGAATATTTGGCCCACCGCTTGAATGCAGAAACCATATGCTCGAATACATACCCTGAAAACTATTCCTCAGGAGCCTCCTACGGCATCTCCCGCGGGTTCGGCTTGGATGCTCGCTTTCTCCGTCGCTGCCGTTCCGTCCATCGCAGGGACTGATGCTGCCGCGGCTGCGGATTCAGCACGTATTCGTCTAGATCGCACGGTGTTGACGAAACAGCCGATGACGAAAACAGCGATCACTGCGACGACCGCTGCGACGCTGACGATGATTGCGGACCACACAGTGAATCCGGCTGCGCTCGTCGCCGACATTTTCCGAATGGGCTGGAGAAGCCGCGTCCAGCAGAACAGCGACGAATCTTGAGATTCTTTACGAAATTAGAGGCAGAAATGGCAGCAGCCTCTGGGAATAGCTATGGTCGTGCTAACCTAACACCAAGAATAGTCGTCGATACGCGTAACACAGCAGAAAATCAGAAGGAAATTCCGTGTCGAGGTGATGCTAACCGATTATCATGCTGAGATTCTCGCGTCGAGATAGCGTGGTTTCGATCTACCAGGCTTTGTGGCAGTTCGTGCAATTACTGCTGCTGACCAGCGCGAAACTCGACCAAGGGAGGAGCGAGTGACGGCCCGCTGAAAATCAAGACACAAAAGGACTTTCGCTCGACGTATAACGAAGAACGGGATGAGCGCATGGCGACTGGTTTCATGGCTCGAGGCGAGAGCGCAAATCCCGGCATTACGACGAAGCAACAAAGTGAGCTGATGAAGTCGAGGGGAGAGGGGAGAGGGTCACGATTATTGGTGCGATGCGAAGAGGGCTGGTTACAGAGCGGCTCGAGGAGGGGATGACTGATTCGATAGAAGACCATTCGCTATGTTGAAAGGCCATTTCGTTTCACAAGCACTTTATATGCACCAGTTGTGAGCCAAACACCTCAAAACAATGAGTTCCCTACTTCCCTCACTGCGCAATTACCAGAAGACAAATACCCGTACATTGGAAAGTGTTTGTTGTTAGATACACACACACAACAAAATAAAAAAATATTAATTCCCCATAAACTACTCACCGCCACCATCCACCGCACCTCCCTCCCCCCCCTGGCCTCCCTTCCGCCGTCTCCTCGGCCTCTTTCGTGCCCCTTCTCCCTCCTCCCCTTGTCTCTTCCTTTCACTTGCTGCTCCTGTTGTTGGGCGGGCCTTCTTCTTGCATGACAGCGGATTGGGTCCCTGTGGTGTGGAAGGGTTTGTATAGAATAGGTACATATTTGAGTCAACTAGAAAATCGCTGTGTCTCTTCCTTTCACTTGCTGCCCCCGTTGTTGGGCGGGCCTTCTTTTTGCATGACAGAGGATTCCCTGTGGTGTGAGGGGTTAAGGGTTCAAAGCATGTGTGTTTGCTCATTGCAACGAGCCTTCTTCTTGCAGAACAGTGGGTTGGTCGGGTCCCTGTGGTGCAAAAGCTATGGGTCAGAACATATGCATGTTCTGAAATGCCACAATTAGCCAGACCCTGGGCTGGTTCGGTGCTTGCGCTGAGCGTGAGAGGGGACGGGCGACAGCTTAAGGCCAATGCAAGGCTTCAGGGCGAATGGAAGCTGGAAGCTGAGTGCGAGTGGGATGGGAGTCACAGAAAGTGAATGTACGACTGCAGGGACAGTGAGAGTGAGAGGGCAGGGACAGTGAGAGTGAGAGGGCAGGGATAGTGAAAGTGAAAGGGCAGGGATAGTGAAATCACACCCATACCCATCTCCATACACATTCGCACCCACACTCTCACCTTCACCCGTTTCCGCTTAAACTTGGCCCGGTCCTTCACATACCCCAGCCGCTTCCACTCCGGCTTCCTCTCCTCTCCCTCCTCCTCCGAATCATATCCATACCCATACGCATCTGCATTCAGATTCACCCCTCCCGCCTCCCCGCCCCCCTCCTCCGCCCCTGCACCATCTGCCCCACCACTCCCTTCTCTCTCACTCCCTGCAACACCCTCCCCCTCGCCTCCTGTCTCTCCTCCAGTCGCTGCTTCTTTCTCGCTCCCCGCAACACTGCCCTGCTGCCTTGCCAACCCTCTGTCCACAACGGTCGCTACAAGACCCTTCTGTGTCTCCTCGATTCTTTTCTTTCGCTTGGCTGCCCGCGCCAGCAGCAGCTGCTGCTGCTCATGCTCGGGCAGCCCGAGCCGGGCAGATTCGGATTTCTTGGAAAGGGAGAGGTCGAGAGGGGAGGGCGGTTCCAGAGAGATTGACGTCCCATTGGCTGAGATGATTGGTACAGCTGGCACCTGGCGAGGAGGGAGATGTGCGGGCGAAGAGAACAGTGCTTGTAGAAAAAGGGAAAAACGAGAGAGTGAGAGGTCGAGAGGGGAGGGCGGTTCCAGAGAGATTGACGTCCCATTGGCTGAGATGATTGGCACTGCTGGCACCTGGGGGGCTGGGGGGGAAGGAAAGGAGTGAGGAAAACAGAGCTTATTACACATGAGAAAACATCTGTGGACTCTAGGGAAGTTTTTTTAGGCGCCTCAAAAGTCGAAAACATCTGTGGATTCCAGAGGGGAGGGTGGCTCGGGCGTGCAGGCACCTTGAGGGTTGTGGTGGTTGGGTGGTGGGGTGGGTGGGTGGGTGGAGTGGAGATGGGGGCAAGATCAGCTGGAGCATAACCACTCGATTGAATCAAACACCACTGTACCAACACTGCAAGCTGAAAAAGGGAGCTTGAACGACCAAAAGTGGCTAAAGACAAAACCAGTCTCTGTCCTCATGGCAGGGTACTGGACCTGAAGGCTGAAACGAACCTTCTTGAGAAGCTTCTTGAATTCAATGTCCTGTGAGGCAACAAAGAAGTGCTGGTGGTTACCACCCGACACGAGGTGCTGTATGCACTGCGATGCCGTCACTGCCTCCTCTCCTTCGTGTGAGCACCTGGTTGGGTAAGGGAGAATGGTGGTAAGTGACGATGCCGTCACTGCCTCGTCGCCCTCATGTGCGCACCTGAGGGGGGAGAGACGGGGATACGGAGGGATGAATGAGGGAGAGAATGGCTACCCTGAATGCTGGTTACCACCGCCTGACCTGTAACCACCTGCCACGAGGTGCTGGATGTACTGCGATGCTGTTACTTGTTAGGCAGAATGGCAGGGGAAGAGGAGCGAAAGGGTAACATAAGTGGTAACTAGATGCCGGCCACTGACTGGTTTGTGTGTCATGAGTGCATGTGCTTTCAATGGTGCGAATGGCAGGGGAATGGAACAAGAGAGGAAAGTGCTGCTGGTTACCATCTGAACTGTTACCACCTGCCAGGCCAGCAGATGCTGGATGCACTCAGATGTGTTTTCTGATTGGTTGGCTTCATGGATGCCACGTGGCAGTAACCAGTGGTACTAACCAGGCATCCATGCCACCTGGCAGTACCAGGCATCCATGCCACGTGGCAGTATCAGGCATCCTTGCCACGTGGCAGTATCAGGCATCCTTGCCACGTGGCAGTACCTAGGCATCCTTGCCACGTGGCATACCTGGCAACCTCCAGCTGGCGGGCAGCAAAGCGCGTGTCCTTGAAGGCATCCCCCAGGCGCTGCAGCTCCGCCAAAATGCACCTGCGGGAAAAAGGGGGAAGGGGGGGGGGGGGGGGAGAGAAGGATCAGAGGGTGAAGAGAGGAGAGAGGGAAAGCAGCATGGAGAGGAGGGAAGTCCGTGAAGGCGTCCCCCAGGCGCTGCAGCTCCGCCAGAATGCACCTGCCGGAAAGAGAGGAGGGGGGAGGGGGGAGAGTGAGAGGAGGGGAAGGGGGGAGAGTGAGAGGAGGGGAAGGGGGGAGAGTGAGAGGAGGGGAAGGGGGGAGGAGCAGGGGAATGAGAGGGGAATGAGAGGGGAATGAGAGGGGAGCAGGCGGAACATGTTGTCATGGAGAGGAGAGAAGGCCTTGAAGCCGCCCCGCCCACCAGGTGACTTTTGAGTCGACTCGAAAGCTACAATGGGGGCCAGCGGCAAGTCTTTCCACGAAGAGAGAGAGGAGAGGAGGCCTTGAAGGCGCCCCCCAGGCGCTGCAGCTCCACCAGAGTGCCACCTGCGCGCCTTTTGAGGCGCCTCAAAAGGCGCCCACCTAGCGCTGTAGCTCTGCCAATGTGCCACCTGCACGCCTTTTGAGGGGAGAAGAGGATCATCGGGGGGGTGGGAGGCAGGGAGATGATCGGATGGAGCACAGTGAGGCAGGGAAATGAGAGCGGGGGCGTCTCCCTCTCTCTCTGAGAGGGATGAGGGGGATGTCGGCTAAAAGTCCCCCCACGGAGAGGAGAGGAGAGAAAGCCCTGAAGGCGTCCCCCAGGTGCTGCAGCTCCGCCAGGGGAGGGGAGGCGTAGGGACATGATATGAGTGACTTTTTGAGACGACTCAAAAAGTCACTCATATTTCGAGGGACGAGGTGAATGAGAGGGAGAGGGAGAGAGAAAGAGACGAGGCATGGGGGTGGGCGGGGGAGAGAAGGCGAATGACGGAGGGTTGAAGCTTGGGTATCGGGGTTCGGGGTTTGGGGCTTGAATCCTCTCTTCCAGTGTCGGGGGTTTAAAGGGGGTTGCGAGGGGTTGAAAGGGGTACTGCAAGAGCCTGAGAGGGATCTTGCAAGGGTTCAAGGGTCGGCGAATCACGATGAGTGGGAGGTTTGAAAGGCCTCGGGGAAGCGGACAGTGATACGAACAGTGTGACGTGGAACCGTATGATCTGGACACACACCCTGTGACGTGGAAACATATGATGGCGCGCAGCTTAATACTGGCCGTGAGAGGTTGATGCGATGCGACCCACGTGTGACGTGGACACGCACCGTGTGATGTAGACACGTGTCGGAAAGCCGAGCAGCTTGGGAAGCGACGTGGCGAGCGGCGAGAGGCGGAGGCGCGTGACGTGGTGCAGAAACGTGCCGTCCGCGACGGCCTTGAACGGCTCGCGGAAGCCGCAGCTCGTGCGGTAGAAGCGCACATGGCGCCGCACCTCCCGCTGCCGCTTCACCCGCATCTCTGCCCGTCTACGACGCTGATCTCCAGATGCGTCGTCAGGTGAACCGCCGTGTAAATCGTCAGGTGGATTGTCAGGTGGATTGTCAGGTGGATCGTCCCGCCAGAACAAGGTGGCGCGAACGGTCACCTCTAATCCGCTCGCATTCAAAGCTCTATCTGATGGCCTCCACACGCCTGCTTTTGTCGCAACGACTTAGGTGCTAGTTCTTTTTCTGTTGGTGTTTGTGTGGAACAGCCGCGTACTCGTTACAAAGGCTGCACCGCAGTACATCTCCAGTAAGCAATTCAATCTGGTACCCGTCATTGTGAGCTTACAAAGAGAGCTTTAAGTATAGATAGACGCAGTGGCTACAATTAAGCAAATTTCACCTTAAAATTTTGAACCACATTTACAACAGTAGGGCATCGAACGTTACTTAATTGTTACTTCTTTATTTTCAACTCTTATCACAACGTTGTTTTCCCATTACCATCACTTGATGACAAGAATGAAATAAAGCTGTGATTCAATTGGTTTGGATCATCCCACATCATCCAGTACGTGAGCTGCACAGCAGACACGCACAGGGGCAACAGGCGTAAACATAGGCAGGCAGAGTGAATCAGCATGTCAGGCCAAAAGAGAGAAGAGCAAGCCACGGAACACGGATGGGTGCAACAGCCAGCGAGACGGTGACGAAGAGGGGCAGTGTGTGCGTGGAAAGGGAGGGGTGCTGCACGGCACGCACGGACATCGGAAAGAGCAGTATGCATGGCGTGGTATGGTATGGGCACCTCAGGAAGACGAGCATGTTCAATAGCGTCGTCGAACGAGTAGTGGTGGTGCGTGCACATCAGAAAGACGAGTGTGAGCAGCTCAGGAGGAGCAGCTCAGGAGGAGCAGCTCAGGAGGAGCAGCTCAGGAGGAGCAGCTCAGGAGGAGCAGCTCAGGAGGAGCAGCTCAGGAGGAGCAGCTCAGGAGGAGCAGCTCAGGAGGAGCAGCTCAGGAGGAGCAGCTCAGGAGGAGCAGCTCAGGAGGAGCAGCTCAGGAGGAGCAGCTCAGGAGGAGCAGCTCAGGAGGAGCAGCTCAGGAGGAGCAGCTCAGGAGGAGCAGCTCAGGAGGAGCAGCTCAGGAGGAGCAGCTCAGGAGGAGCAGCTCAGGAGGAGCAGCTCAGGAGGAGCAGCTCAGGAGGAGCAGCTCAGGAGGAGCAGCTCAGGAGGAGCAGCTCAGGAGGAGCAGCTCAGGAGGAGCAGCTCAGGAGGAGCAGCTCAGGAGGAGCAGCTCAGGAGGAGCAGCTCAGGAGGAGCAGCTCAGGAGGAGCAGCTCAGGAGGAGCAGCTCAGGAGGAGCAGCTCAGGAGGAGCAGCTCAGGAGGAGCAGCTCAGGAGGAGCAGCTCAGGAGGAGCAGCTCAGGAGGAGCAGCTCAGGAGGAGCAGCTCAGGAGGAGCAGGTCAGGAGGAGCAGCTCAGGAGGAGCAGCTCAGGAGGAGCAGCTCAGGAGGAGCAGCTCAGGAGGAGCAGCTCAGGAGGAGCAGCTCAGGAGGAGCAGCTCAGGAGGAGCAGCTCAGGAGGAGCAGCTCAGGAGGAGCAGCTCAGGAGGAGCAGCTCAGGAGGAGCAGCTCAGGAGGAGCAGCTCAGGAGGAGCAGCTCAGGAGGAGCAGCTCAGGAGGAGCAGCTCAGGAGGAGCAGCTCAGGAGGAGCAGCTCAGGAGGAGCAGCTCAGGAGGAGCAGCTCAGGAGGAGCAGCTCAGGAGGAGCAGCTCAGGAGGAGCAGCTCAGGAGGAGCAGCTCAGGAGGAGCAGCTCAGGAGGAGCAGCTCAGGAGGAGCAGCTCAGGAGGAGCAGCTCAGGAGGAGCAGCTCAGGAGGAGCAGCTCAGGAGGAGCAGCTCAGGAGGAGCAGCTCAGGAGGAGCAGCTCAGGAGGAGCAGCTCAGGAGGAGCAGCTCAGGAGGAGCAGCTCAGGAGGAGCAGCTCAGGAGGAGCAGCTCAGGAGGAGCAGCTCAGGAGGAGCAGCTCAGGAGGAGCAGCTCAGGAGGAGCAGCTCAGGAGGAGCAGCTCAGGAGGAGCAGCTCAGGAGGAGCAGCTCAGGAGGAGCAGCTCAGGAGGAGCAGCTCAGGAGGAGCAGCTCAGGAGGAGCAGCTCAGGAGGAGCAGCTCAGGAGGAGCAGCTCAGGAGGAGCAGCTCAGGAGGAGCAGCTCAGGAGGAGCAGCTCAGGAGGAGCAGCTCAGGAGGAGCAGCTCAGGAGGAGCAGCTCAGGAGGAGCAGCTCAGGAGGAGCAGCTCAGGAGGAGCAGCTCAGGAGGAGCAGCTCAGGAGGAGCAGCTCAGGAGGAGCAGCTCAGGAGGAGCAGCTCAGGAGGAGCAGCTCAGGAGGAGCAGCTCAGGAGGAGCAGCTCAGGAGGAGCAGCTCAGGAGGAGCAGCTCAGGAGGAGCAGCTCAGGAGGAGCAGCTCAGGAGGAGCAGCTCAGGAGGAGCAGCTCAGGAGGAGCAGCTCAGGAGGAGCAGTCAGGAGGAGCAGGTCAGGAGGAGCAGCTCAGGAGGAGCAGCTCAGGAGGAGCAGCTCAGGAGGAGCAGCTCAGGAGGAGCAGCTCAGGAGGAGCAGCTCAGGAGGAGCAGCTCAGGAGGAGCAGCTCAGGAGGAGCAGCTCAGGAGGAGCAGCTCAGGAGGAGCAGCTCAGGAGGAGCAGCTCAGGAGGAGCAGCTCAGGAGGAGCAGCTCAGGAGGAGCAGGTCAGGAGGAGCAGGTCAGGAGGAGCAGGTCAGGAGGAGCAGGTCAGGAGGAGCAGGTCAGGAGGAGCAGGTCAGGAGGAGCAGGTCAGGAGGAGCAGCTCAGGAGGAGCAGCTCAGGAGGAGCAGCTCAGGAGGAGCAGCTCAGGAGGAGCAGCTCAGGAGGAGCAGCTCAGGAGGAGCAGCTCAGGAGGAGCAGCTCAGGAGGAGCAGCTCAGGAGGAGCAGCTCAGGAGGAGCAGCTCAGGAGGAGCAGCTCAGGAGGAGCAGCTCAGGAGGAGCAGCTCAGGAGGAGCAGGTCAGGAGGAGCAGCTCAGGAGGAGCAGCTCAGGAGGAGCAGCTCAGGAGGAGCAGCTCAGGAGGAGCAGCTCAGGAGGAGCAGCTCAGGAGGAGCAGCTCAGGAGGAGCAGCTCAGGAGGAGCAGCTCAGGAGGAGCAGCTCAGGAGGAGCAGCTCAGGAGGAGCAGCTCAGGAGGAGCAGCTCAGGAGGAGCAGCTCAGGAGGAGCAGGTCAGGAGGAGCAGGTCAGGAGGAGCAGGTCAGGAGGAGCAGGTCAGGAGGAGCAGGTCAGGAGGAGCAGGTCAGGAGGAGCAGGTCAGGAGGAGCAGGTCAGGAGGAGCAGCTCAGGAGGAGCAGCTCACCTCAGGAAAATGCACCACTTGAGCGTTGGGCACAAGGGCGGGCGGTGGCTGCGCCATGTGTGGGCGGGCGTATTTGTCCTTTCCCGCCCACAGCACGAGCACCCTGTGCAGCACGGGTACCGGGCGGCCGAACCGCCACAGCCCCCTTAGGAACGCCCTGTGGTACGAGATGCCAGCTGTCAGCGCGCCATTTGTGGAGAATGCTTCCACGTGGCTGAGGCACAGTGAGCAGATGGAAAGGGATGGGGGAGAGAGGGCGAGGGAATCGAGGGGAGAGGGGGAGGTGGGTGGGTAGACGGGCACATGGGAGCTAGTTTGCAGGCACACATGGTATGTAGACCACCAGGATAGAGGAATGTATGTATGTATGTATGTATGCATGCATGTATGTATGTATGTATGTATGTATGCATGCATGTATGTATGTATGTATGTATGTATGTATGTATGTATGTATGTATGTATGTATGTATGTATGTATGTATGTATGTATGTATGTATGCATGCATGTATGTGTGTATGTATGTATGTATGCATGCATGTATGTATGTATGTATGTATGTATGTATGTATGTATGTATGTATGCATGCATGTATGTATGTATGTATGTATGTATGTATGCATGCATGCATGTATGTATGTATGTATGTATGTATGTATGTATGTATGTATGTATGTATGTATGTATGTATGTGGTAAGGCCATGCTCACATAGCAGTGGCATGACAAGTGGAAGCTTCGACATGCCTGACATGCCTGACATGCCTGACATGCCTCACATGCCTCACATGCCTCACATGCCTCACATGCCTGACATGCCTCACATGCACGACGAGCATGGCTATCCTGGTTTGCAACTAGAGAGTTGGACGGTGTGTTGTGAGAGCCAGCTGTCAGGCAACCACAAGGAGTGGGGAGGGCTGGCTGGGAGGACTGAAGGAGTCAGCATCCGGTCAAGCCATTTCTGCTTTTGAGAATTCTCAAAAGCAATTCAAGCAGAGCCATTTCTGCTGTTTCTGCCCCGCTGATTTCCCTCCAACCCCCTCGTCTCTCCTCTTCCCCACTCCCTGCCCCCTCACCCCCTTCCCATCCCTCATCACATCTCCCCCATGCCCTCCTCTCTGCACTGCACCTCGCCACAAGGGTACCGCTTCTTCTTCCTCACACCCCCCATTCCCTCCCACCCATCCTCACACCGCTCCCCATCTCATCCCACCCCTCACCGCACCTGTGCACGAGGGCAGGCGGCAGCGGTTGCAGGGGCTCGTCATGGTACACTCGCTGCAGAGCAGCACAGCTGGGGAGGACGAGGAGAGAGGTGGAGAGAGGTGGAGAGAGGTGTAGAGAGGTGGGGTGAGGTGGATAAGGCAAGGAGTGAGGATATGGAATGGAGGCATAAGATGGGATCATGAAAGCATGTCCAGATCAGATGGCATAACGGCCTGGCAACAGAACAAGGCAAGCGTTTAGGTGCATGTATGCTGTGGCATGTGGGAGAGAGATAGAGAGATAAGTACATGCTATGCTGCACAGGTACTGGTGCGACACAAATAGCACTGGATGGCACAGGTGGGTCAGCATGTGAGTGGGTCAGGATGTGTGTAACTCGCATGTGTGTGGCTCAGCATGTGTGTGGCTCAGCATGTGTGTGGCTCAGCATGTGTGTGGCTCACTTGTTGCGTCGCAGAAGCCATTCGGGAAGCCATGGCACGAGAAAGAGAACTGCAGGGACGGAGGGGTGGGGCCATGAGGAAATGAGGTGTGGCGCGAGGATGGATGTGTGAGGGGATTGGGTAGAATTAAGAAGCAATGAGCGATCGATAGAAACGTACGTGCGACGCATCAGTGATCTTTGCAAAAGTGCAAATATTTTGATTTGGCATGGCACGGCATGGCACGGTATGGCATGGCATTGAATGGCACGGCATGGCACAAACATGGTATGGCATGGCATGGCATGGCACGGCAAAGTAAGTAGAAGCACCGCAGCAGTGTACGGGGCTCCAAGAGCGACGGGCAGCGGCGGAAGACAAGGGGTGCGGCGCGACCCACAGAGGGAAGCAGAACAGAGCAGACCAGAGTTTTCCCCCTACAGGGCATGGCAGCGGCACGGCAGTCACACCAGTAGAAGTAGCGCAACAGTGTGCGGGCGGGGCTCCCAGAGCGACAGGCAGTCGTGGTGGAACACAAGGGGGTACAGCCCACAGCGCAGAGCACCGCACGGCGTGAGTAACATGGTTCTTCCCCAAGGCGAGCAGCAGTCACACCAGTAGAAGTAGCGCAGCAGGGTGAGTACTGAGTGGCTCCCAGAGCGACAGGCAGCGGTGAAGGACGAGGAGGTGCGGCGGCAGCAGCGGAGCAGAGCAGAACAAGGTACTGACTCCAACAACAAAGCAGAGCAGTGGCACTCACACCAGTAGAAGTATCTCAGCAGTGTGAGGGGCTCCCAGAGCGACAGGCAGTTGTGGAAGACGAGGGGGTGGGGCCCACAGAGCACTGCCACGCGGCGGACGAGGTGCGCATGGTCCATGGCCATGGCCCACGCTGTGAACGCACCCCACCCGTGCCCGATCTGTTGAGAGAAATGGGGGTGATATGGAATTGAGAAATGGAGGTGAGGGAATGGTTTGACATGGCGAACGAGGTGCGCATGGTCCATTGCCATGGCCCACGCTGTGAATGCGCCCCACCCATGGCCGGTCTGGTGGCACGAACGTGGATGCGGAACAGAAAGGGTTGACATGGCAGATGAGGTGCGCATGGTCCATGGCCGTGGCCCACGCTGTGAACGCTCCCCACCTGTGCCCCACCTGGTGGAGGGCGGATTGGGGGGAGGTGAGGCATGAAATCGTGTTAGCGAATGAGAGGGGTGGATGGTCCATGCATGGCATGGCATGGCCCACGCTGGGAACGCTCCCCCCCATCCATGCGGGGAGTGGGGGTTGCGGAGAGGTACGGGGGACGACTAGAAGCGGAAGAGCGGGATGGGATGGAGGAGCGGGAGGGACGACTGCTGGGCTGGGAAGAGGGGGGGAGGGGAGGGGAGAAGAGGGGAGGGGAGGGGAGGGGAGCGGAGGAAGAGAGTAATTTGACGAACTATGATGCATCAGCTTCGCGCCTTTTGTGCACGTTGCCAATAAAGCTTCGCCCATTCGCCATCCATTCACGACATTACTCACCAAGTCAGCCTTTCGTCCATCGTCGCCGCGGTCGCTGCTTCGTTGTCGCATACCATTTTCGCCCAGCGCTGTTACTCGCGACGTGCGACAATCACCAGCGGCTGCGCTGCTGCTGCTGCTCCTGCTGCGATTTGCAGTGGCGACATCGCCAGCGCTTGTCGGGGCAGCATCTGTCGCACGGGAAAGGCAGTGCGAGATGAGCGACGCCACGTCAGCGCAGACATGCTGACGACTGTACGCCGCGACTCCCGCCGGCCGCGTAGAGTCGCCGAACCCTCGTAGGTCCGGTACGACGACGCGGAAGCCTGCTTCGGCTAGCGGACCAATCTGCTTGTGCCACGTGTTCCAGAACTCGGGGAATCCGTGCAGCAGCACCACCTGCACGAGCGCACGCACGCGTTGCGACAATGGGCGGACGAAAACCAAGCGTTACTAGAAGAACAGGAAAGCGACCGCGAAACGAAAGCAAAGGAAATTCGATTCCCGGAAAACCAACACCACACGTGACACCAGAGAATGTCACGGAAACCAAAATACTGAAAATCGAGCGGAAGAGCCATGGGTGGAGTGCGGTGTGGAGGTGAGCGAGGGGTTGGAGGGGAAGGGAAGAAGCAGAGGAGCAGGTAGACAAACCAGTTGGCCGGTTGGCGGACCGGCCTCCACGAAGTGGATGGTGACGTTTGGGGCAGTCCGCAGGTAAGAGTGGCGGAAACCGTCATCCTTAGCCATAGTGCGACGAAAATGAGCGCTATACGAAGCCCCACGCGACGATTTATGGGCTCAGTGGCTTGAACCTTTTGGAATGGTTTGAAATTTGCCACTTGGCATTAGCGAGTGTTACAGTAGTGTCACCCACATTTGTATCGAACGAAGGATGAATTCGCAAGGGGGGGGAACATTCGCCTCGTCGTCGCTGACCCTTGGCCGAATTTCGTACAAGCTGCTCATTATGGCGAGTGTTTGCCGATTGAGTGCTCCAACATCGTAGATTACGACTGAAGAAAACATATAGATGTGATTTATGTCATTTAACTTCTTAACTACATGAGATTACAAAGAACTTGTTTGCCGAAAACCCTCCAAAAGCAGTAACCTTGGTTTGCAGCTTAGTCAACGAGTGTTTTAATGCAAACATCATGACTGTAATGAACTCATTCGTAACAAAAATTAAGCCTGACGGCAGCCCACTTCCCCTCAAACCGAATAACAAGGCAATATGGAATATATTTCGTTTTTGTTTGTCAGCGACTAACATGTACATTTTTTTTTGGAAAACCGCCTCCTCTCCAATTCATCTCACCTCAGCATCAGCGCCTACTTTGACCGTATTGCCCTCCCCTGCCCTGCCCATACCCTCCCCCTTGCTGCCCATACCCCCGTCCCTGTTGCCCCCCATACCCCTGCTGCTGCTGACCCCCCCCATACCCCTGTTGCCCCGCCCCATACCCCCCTCTCCCACCATACCCTCCCGCTTGCCCATACCCCCCTGCCGCTTGTGCTGCCACTTGTGGTGCCACTTGTGCGCATGCTCCACTACCAGGCCTCACCCACACATTCCCACCGTACCCCCCTTGCTGCTGCTGCTGCTGATAATACCCCCCCTGTGCCGGTTGCTGCTGCTGGTATACGGCCTGTCCCCCCCGATACCCATACCCCTGCTGCTGCTGCTGCGGCTGCTGCTGCCGCTGATGCTGCTGCTGTTGCTGCTGCTGCTGCCCATACGCCCCTGCTTTCCCTCCATAAGCAGCAACCCTAGGGTCTGCCGATTGCACCGCACTGTACCCCCCCGTTTGCCCGTGACTGTATCCCCCCGCATGAGCGTGACTATAAGGGGCGGACTGGCTGTAGGGTGACTGTACGGGGAGAATGCCGCCCGCTAGAGGAACAGGCAGGGGCACAGGGCCGGCAGTGCCCATGTGAGACAGCCGCTGCTGCGCTTCCCGCAGCTGGGCGGCTGCCGCCCCGCCCTGCCGCCCGGCCGCGCCGAGAGAGTTGAGAAGCAGACGAGTGGCTGCCGCCCCCAAGGCGGGCCCTCCTATGGCATTCTGCACTGGCCGCCTGGGGAAAGAAAAGGGGCAGGGCAGAGAGTGAGTGGAGGAAGAGGAAGGAGAGAAATTGTGAGGGAGAGGGAAGGGACAAGGAAGGAGAGGAGGTAAGGGGGGTAAGAGAAGGGAATCAGGAAAAAGGGAGGGAAGGGGTGTCTCTAAAACGTACCGAGTGGTCAGGAATTTGGTCAAAGTGACCCTGTTCACTCTAGAAGATATTGAGATGCTCCCTAAGGGGGGTGAGGAGATGCTCCCTAAGGGGGGTGAGGAGATGAAATGGCAACAATAGGTGAGACGCCAAGCCAAGGTACCTGTCCTGTATCTGCGGTCGCCGTCGCCCCCATGTGTCCTCGTGCCACAGCGGCTCCGACTTAATGTCCATCTCTGATACCAACTGGTGGGAACAGGCAGGCAGGTGGGACGAGCAGCAGTGGGAGGGGAGAGAAAAGAGAACAAGGAGGCGGTGAGACGCCAGCAACATGCCTTGGTGGTGCCACAGCGGCTCCGACTTAATGTCCATCTCTGATACCAACTGGTGGGAACAGGCAGGCAGGTGGGACGAGCAGCAGTGGGAGGGGAGAGAAAAGAGAACAAGGAGGCGGTGAGACGCCAGCAACATGCCTTGGTGGTGCCACAGCGGCTCCGACTTAATGTCCATCTCTGATACCAACTGGTGGGAACAGGCAGGCAGGTGGGACGAGCAGCAGTGGGAGGGGAGAGAAAAGAGAACAAGGAGGTGGTGAGACGCCAGCAACATGCCTTGGTGCCACAGCGGCTCTGACTTGATGTCCTGCTCTGATACCATCTGGTGGGAACAGGCAGGCAGGCGGGGGCAGCAGTGGGTGGGGAGAGAGGGAGCGCAAAGGAGTGTTGGGACGTCAACCACATGCATTGGTGCCACAGCGGCTCGGACTTGATGTCCTGCTCTGATACCAACTGGTGGGCGGCACAGGAGTGGGCAGACAAAGATGAAGGGGGGGCAGCCGCGGGGGTGAGAGACGAGGGAGCACAGGTGGGTGTTGTTGAGGTATCCACCCCTCCCTAAACCCGAAACCCTAAACCCTAAACCCGAAACCCTAATCCCTAAACCCGAAACCTTAAACCCTAAACCTAAATACCATATGGAAGGCGCAGAGAGAGCAGGAAATGGGGGACAAAGAGCAGCGATGAGGGCGGATACATGCCTAGGGCGGAAGATACATGCCTAGGGCGGAAGATACATGCCTAGGGCGGAAGATACATGCCTAGGGCGGAAGATACATGTCTTGGCCAGCAAGCACATGCTTTGGGCGACAGACAGATACACGCCTTGGGCGGCAAGCACATGCTTTGGGCAGGAAAATCATGAATGGCGCGGCGGATACATGCTTTGGGCGGCAAGCACATGCCTTGGGATACATGCATTGGTCGGCAAGCACATCCCTTGGGATACATGCCTTGGTCGGCGGATACATGCCTTGGGAGGGTAGATAGCGCCAGCTGGCGGGCGGCAGATACATGCTTGCCTTTAAGCGTCGTCAAGTACAAGCCTTGGGCGGCAGATACGCACCTTGGGGGGGTAGATGGCGCCAGCTGGCGGGCGGCAGATGTGGCGATGAAAGTCGGGATTCTTGTAGACCACACAGCTGGCGAGAGGGTGCAGTGCATGGGAGGGAGGGAGGGCGGGAGGGAGGGAGGGAGGGAGGGAGGGAGGGAGGGAGGGAGGGAGGGAGGGAGGGAGGGAGGGAGGGAGGGAGGGAGGGAGGGAGGGAGGGAGGGAGGGAGGGAGAGAGGGAGGGAGGGAGGGAGGGAGGGAGGGATGCAGCGATAAGGTAAGAGGTGCAGACAACGGGCAGATGTGGCGATGGAAGTCGGGATTCTTGTAGACCGCACAGCTGGTGGGAGGGTGGTTGGTTGGTGGGGTAGGTTAGGAGCGGAAGGGAAGGGGGAGTTGCAGAGGTATGGTAAGAGGTGGCAGATGTGGCAATGGAAGTCGGGATTCTTGTAGACCACACAGCTGGGAAGAGGGTGCGTTGATGGTGGCGGTGGAGGAGGGGGGAGGGGGGGGTATTGGGAAGGGGGTGGGGGAATGTAAAGACACGGTAAGAGGTGCAGACAAGTCTGGCAGATGTGGCGGCGGAAGAGGGGATTTTGGTAGACCACACAGCAGGAGGGAGGAGAGGGGGAGGGAAAAAAAGCGATAAGAGGGGAACGGTAAGAGGGGAACGGTAAGAGGGGAACGGTAAGAGGGGAACGGTAAGAGGGGAACGGTAAGAGGGGAACGGTAAGAGGGGAACGGTAAGAGGGGAACGGTAAGAGGGGAACGGTAAGAGGGGAACGGTAAGAGGGGAACGGTAAGAGGGGAACGGTAAGAGGGGAACGGTAAGAGGGGAACGGTAAGAGGGGAACGGTAAGAGGGGAACGGTAAGAGGGGAACGGTAAGAGGGGAACGGTAAGAGGGGAACGGTAAGAGGGGAACGGTAAGAGGGGAACGGTAAGAGGGGAACGGTAAGAGGGGAACGGTAAGAGGGGAACGGTAAGAGGGGAACGGTAAGAGGGGAACGGTAAGAGGGGAACGGTAAGAGGGGAACGGTAAGAGGGGAACGGTAAGAGGGGAACGGTAAGAGGGGAACGGTAAGAGGGGAACGGTAAGAGGGGAACGGTAAGAGGGGAACGGTAAGAGGGGAACGGTAAGAGGGGAACGGTAAGAGGGGAACGGTAAGAGGGGAACGGTAAGAGGGGAACGGTAAGAGGGGAACGGTAAGAGGGGAACGGTAAGAGGGGAACGGTAAGAGGGGAACGGTAAGAGGGGAACGGTAAGAGGGGAACGGTAAGAGGGGAACGGTAAGAGGGGAACGGTAAGAGGGGAACGGTAAGAGGGGAACGGTAAGAGGGGAACGGTAAGAGGGGAACGGTAAGAGGGGAACGGTAAGAGGGGAACGGTAAGAGGGGAACGGTAAGAGGGGAACGGTAAGAGGGGAACGGTAAGAGGGGAACGGTAAGAGGGGAACGGTAAGAGGGGAACGGTAAGAGGGGAACGGTAAGAGGGGAACGGTAAGAGGGGAACGGTAAGAGGGGAACGGTAAGAGGGGAACGGTAAGAGGGGAACGGTAAGAGGGGAACGGTAAGAGGGGAACGGTAAGAGGGGAACGGTAAGAGGGGAACGGTAAGAGGGGAACGGTAAGAGGGGAACGGTAAGAGGGGAACGGTAAGAGGGGAACGGTAAGAGGGGAACGGTAAGAGGGGAACGGTAAGAGGGGAACGGTAAGAGGGGAACGGTAAGAGGGGAACGGTAAGAGGGGAACGGTAAGAGGGGAACGGTAAGAGGGGAACGGTAAGAGGGGAACGGTAAGAGGGGAACGGTAAGAGGGGAACGGTAAGAGGGGAACGGTAAGAGGGGAACGGTAAGAGGGGAACGGTAAGAGGGGAACGGTAAGAGGGGAACGGTAAGAGGGGAACGGTAAGAGGGGAACGGTAAGAGGGGAACGGTAAGAGGGGAACGGTAAGAGGGGAACGGTAAGAGGGGAACGGTAAGAGGGGAACGGTAAGAGGGGAACGGTAAGAGGGGAACGGTAAGAGGGGAACGGTAAGAGGGGAACGGTAAGAGGGGAACGGTAAGAGGGGAACGGTAAGAGGGGAACGGTAAGAGGGGAACGGTAAGAGGGGAACGGTAAGAGGGGAACGGTAAGAGGGGAACGGTAAGAGGGGAACGGTAAGAGGGGAACGGTAAGAGGGGAACGGTAAGAGGGGAACGGTAAGAGGGGAACGGTAAGAGGGGAACGGTAAGAGGGGAACGGTAAGAGGGGAACGGTAAGAGGGGAACGGTAAGAGGGGAACGGTAAGAGGGGAACGGTAAGAGGGGAACGGTAAGAGGGGAACGGTAAGAGGGGAACGGTAAGAGGGGAACGGTAAGAGGGGAACGGTAAGGGGACGGTAAGAGGGGAACGGTAAGAGGGACGGTAAGAGGGGAACGGTAAGAGGGGAACGGTAAGAGGGGAACGGTAAGAGGGGAACGGTAAGAGGGGAACGGTAAGAGGGGAACGGTAAGAGGGGAACGGTAAGAGGGGAACGGTAAGAGGGGAACGGTAAGAGGGGAACGGTAAGAGGGGAACGGTAAGAGGGCGGTGAGCGATAAGGAATGATGGGGGGACGCGCAGCATGGGCGGGCAGAGCTGCCAGTTCACTCACATGAGTCATGTGAGATGACCTAATCGCCAGCTCGGAGCACCTCTTAGCACCTGACTGCCAGCTCACAGCACCTCACAGCACCTGACTGCTGGCGCACAGCACCTCACAGCACATCCCCGAGTTGCTGTTGCTGCCGGCTCACATGACTTGGTTGCTGGTGATGGTCTCGAATCCGGACATGGGGGCACGCAGCATGGGCGGGCAGGGCTGACCGTCACAGAGCACTAGATAGCCGTTCATACCATCGCTGATGCATTCATTCCCCCTTGCACGGCAACCCAGGGGGGGGGGATGGGAGGGTAAAAAGGGCCAGGGGTAGGGGTATGGGCAGGGGTATGGGCAGGGCCAGGGGTAGGAGGAAGGGAGGGCAGAGGCAACGGGGAGAAGGAGAAAGGGAAGGGGGGAAAATGAGGAACGTTTTTGGGATGTGTGTGATTGCGTGCAGCAGCATGGGCGGGCAGGGCTGGGCGTCACAGAGCACTAGATAGCCGTTCATTACATTGCTGATGCATTCATTCCCCCTTGCACGGCAACCCAGGGAGAGGATAGGAGGGGAAAAAGGGCCAGGGGCAAGGGCAGGGGTAGGGCAGGGGCAGGGGTAGGGGGGCACCGGGGCAGGGGCAGGGGTAGGGCAGGGGCAGGGGCACGGGGTCAGGGGCAGAGAAAGGAAGGGACGGCAGAAGCAACGGAGAGAAGGAACGAGGGAAGAGGAACAAACGAGGAACGCTTTTGGCATGTGTGTAAGTAACTGTCTGCAGCAGTGTGGGAGGGTAGGGAGTGGGGAGAATCCCTGGCTCCCCAACCTCGGATTCGTTTGTGCCCATACCCGAAGCTCGGGTGGATGGCTCACAACACAGGAGTACCAGTGGTTTCAATCTTTCATGTTTACAGCCATACCTGCGGGAGGGGAGGTATACCTGAGGGAGGTATACCTGAGGGAGGGGAGGTATACCTGAGGGAGGTATACCTGAGGGAGGTATACCTGAGGGAGGGCTCGATGGCGTGCTTCTTGTGAGCGCGTGCCTTGGCGTCCAGCTGCCCCCACTTGCCCATCATCTCCCATACTGCCTTGGCTAGCGGGTACCCCGAGGAGAAGTACATGAGCTCGCACAGCTGGCTGTTGCGCCGCCTCTCCTCGGGCTGTGAGGGTGGGTGGACAGTTGAGACGCAAGAGGCACGCAGGTTATGAGCACGTGAGGACATGCTGGGGTTGCTAGCGGATGCCCTGAGGAGAAGCACATGAGCTCGCACAGCTGGCTGTTGCGCCGCCTCTCCTCGGGCTGTGAGGGTGCGTGCATGGACGGAGGGTCCAGAGTGGGCAACTCGTTTGCGCGTGATAGGTGGAATGGTACTTTTGGGAGAAGAGAAACAGAAGCGTTGCTGCAGGTTGCGATGTTGCTACGATCACAAGAACAACAGAGTCTAAAAACTGCTACAGTGCAGTGCAATGGCTTTACTTCATTCGTGGCATACGGAATTACAGTGAGCGTGCGATTGACTTGCGTGACACACTCGAAACTTCAACTGCAAAAAGCAGTGCCCCTTGTGACTCAGCCCCTTGTGACTCAGCCCCTTGTGACTCACAGTGAGAGTGGACTCGACTTGCTTGATGGCTTCCAGTAGTCGGTCCTCATCGATGAACGGCAGCAACGCCACTCCCTGGGAGGTGCATGGTGTGGTGTGGTGCGTAGGGACATGGGACATGAGTGGCATGGCAAGTTTGCATGCATGGGCATGCCATAGTGCAGTGGGATGGTGGGTCATGAAGCCATGAGCTAACGGGCTGACGGAGTGAGGGGCAGGCGCGATGACAAGAAGAGAATGAAACAGAAAGGCAGGCGGCCAGGAACGAGAAGTTGGTGTGTCTGCAGGCGAGAGAAGGCAAGAGAGTGAGCGAGAGTGAGAAAGTGAGTGAGAACGAGAGCGTGAGTGAAAAGGAGGGGAAACTGACCTGCCAAGCGAAGCGTTTGCCGTTCATGTCCACACTGAAGTCTGCGAGGGAGGGGAGAAGAGGGCACGAGGGGAGGGGAAGGGAGAAAAGCGGGAGGACGAGGATGTTGGGAATAGATGGGGACGGGGGGGGGGGGGGGGAGGAGGGTGAAGAGCGGGCAAATATGGAGGGCGGGGGTGGGAAGGGATGGGGAAGGCGAGGAAAAGGGCATGAGTGGGAGCAAAAGAGATGTGACCAGACTTGTACTTGGCAGGTCTATGCGCGCAGTAGACACCACAATCTGAGAGAGCAAGCAGAGAGGGCACGCGAGCGGTGATGCCTCACTCACTCCCACGTATGGCATGGCATGGCATGGCACGACACGGCATCGCACGGCATGTCATGTCATGGAATGCCATGGCATGTCATGGCACGGCACGGCATGGCACGGCACGGCATGGCACGGCATGTCACGGCAGCGCATGTGTACAGTGTACCAGTGGGGTAGAAGTCAACGATGGGCGAGGCTGGGTCCGACATGAGCTTGCGATACGCTGTTGGGAGGGCGCCCGAACTGCCGTTGGGAGGGGTGGGGGGCGGTTGGGGGCGGTTGGGGGCGGGGGGGGAGGGGGGGGGGGAGTGGGTGAGGGAAGAGGGCGAGGCAGGGTCCGACATGAGCTTGCGATACGCTGTTGGCAGGGCGCCGGAACTGATGTGTGTCAAGGGAGGAGAAAGAGTTTCGTGTTTAGAGTTAGGCAGGAACGCGGGGAAAGAGCGGCGAGAGAAGGTTGAGAGAGGGCGGAGAGAGTGGGGAGGGAGAGGGGGAGGAATGAGGAGGAGGTACGCTACTACGTCACATTGCACCGCACACTGCCCACTGGAACCACACACACTGCACCGCACCTAGCAGCGGGCAGCACGCCCATGAGCTGGTCGAAGGGCTTGAAGGGGCGGCCGAGGAAAAAGTGGATCTCCAACTCGTCCAGGTGCACCAGGTCCGATGCGAATGGCGCGTAGTGATACGGGTAGTACCTGGGGGAGGGGGTATGAGGGGGAAGAGGGGTGTATGCAAGGAAGAGGACGTGGATCTCCAGCTCGCCCAGCCGCACCAGGTCTGATGCGAACGGTGTTAGTGGTACGGGTAGTACTTGTGGGAGGGGGTATGTGAGGAGGACGAGAGGAGGAAGGGGATGCGGGCGAGGGGAGGAAAGGGGGGACTGGAGGGGGTGGAGGGGGTGGAGCGGTGGGAACGGATTGAGAATCGGCTATTAAAACGAATATCTAGATCGAAGAGACGCAAAGATGCATAGTTTAAGAGCATTCGGTGCGGAGTGGTACAAGTAGTATAGCCGGGTAAAACGCCTTGCTCTCACCAGTTCCAAGAGCACACGCCCTGGTAGTACTACATCACTCTCCACCACCCAGCACCCATCATCAACACCCAGTACCTCATTTTGCCCACTTCCATCCAGCCACGTCTCACCAGTTCCAAGAGCACACGCCCTGGTAGTAATACCGCATCACCCAGCATAGACCCTCCACAAACTTGAGCACCTGCGGTAGTGATAGGCAGAGGTGGTTGGGTGTGCGCCGTAAAGATAGAAAGAGGGGGTTGAGTGAGTCGGGCAAATAGAGGGGAACAGACGTCGTAGTAATACCGCATCACCCAGCACAGACCCTCCCCGAACTTCAGCACCTGCGGGCGGGAGAGTAAGCCAGAGGTCGTCGGGTGTGAGAAAGAGGGAAATTTGAGTGCAGGAGGGATAAGGAGACATGGAATCTTCGGTGCGCGTGACAGAGAGAGGAGGAAATCTGAGTGTCCACATGGGAGAGGTAGAGAGACTTAGGAGCAGCATCGCATAAGGCAACACAGCCCCCCCCCCCCCCCCCCCCCCCCCCCCCCCCCCCCCCATGTAACTGAGCAGATGTAGGAGAACGAAAAGGAATGGGTGAGATGAGACAAGCAGACGGATTGTAGACTGGTGGCACGCATAGTATGGCATGATGAGCTACAATAACAGCTTGTAAGTGTTCCCATTGGAGATAAATTTTGAAAAGGAAGGAGGGGGGAGGAATGGTTTGGAGGTGGAAAGATGGGGGAGCGACTGCCAATAGGGTGGGGGAGGCTGAGGCAGAGTACAGTGAGGAGGGGTGCAGTGAGGCGGGGTGCAGTGAGGAGGGGTGCAGTGAGGCGGGGTGCAGTGAGGAGGGGTGCAGTGAGGAGGGGTGCAGTGAGGAGGGGTGCAGTGAGATGGAGTGCAGTGAGGCAGGGTGCAGTGAGGTGGAGTGTGGCAAGGCTAGAGGTGGAGTGTGGTGTGCAGGGGCTTGATGAGTCTAAGGTCACAGACCACGTCCTGGCGAGCTCTCTTGCTCCTCATACGACGTCAGTGAGTGAGGTGTGGTGCGGTGCAGTGAGGTGGGAGGGCACTGACCACGTCCTGGCGAATGCGCTCCTGCTCCTCATACGACGTCACGCCAAACTTCTGCTGGTAGTACCGCTCCTTCCACCCGTCGTCTCCCAGCCGGATCTGATGCAAGCCATGGGGTTGCGTGATAAGATGAGAAGAGATGAGAAGAGACCATGGCGGGAAGAGGCGGGGAGATGGTGAGACGAGGTACTGATTAACTGCCTCTGCTGGTAGTACCGCTCCTTCCACCCATCGCCACCCAACCGGATCTGTCCACATGCGATGGAACGGGGTGACGAGATGTGATGAGATAAGATGAGATCACGGCAGGAAGAGGCAGGGAGATGGTGAAAGAGTGAATTCACCGACCACTTCTGCTGGCAGTAGTACCGCTCCTTCCACCCCTCCCCTCTTGCACAGCACGCCACCCCATCTCACCTCAGGCTCATCATCCGGCTCCTTGCCCCCGGCAAACAGGTCCAATTTGTCTTTGACAGGGAGTTGAAGTTTCAGCTTGAGCTCACCTCCCACCCATCTCTTACCACCCTCCCACTCCACGTCACTCCCTCTCACTGAGCCAGCTCAGCTCCCTTCTCTCACCTCGTCATCCGGCTCCTTGCCCCCGGCAAAAAGATCTGGTTTATCCTTGAGAGCGGACTTGAGCTTCAGCTTGAGCTCCTCCTGCAAATCCTCCTCCTCCTCCTCCGCCTGCACTGCACAGCACCCTACCATATCCCATTCCTCACCTCATCATCCGGCTCCTTGCCCCCGGCAAACAGATCCGACTTGTCCTTGAGAGCCGACTTGAGCTTGAATTTCAGCTCCTCCTGCAGATCCTCCTCCTCCTCCTCCTGCACGGGAGAACACAGGGCAGCGTGGGGCAGGGAGGGCATGGGAGGACAGCGGAGAGAGGCGTAATGAGTGTGAGAGGCTGAAATGGGAGGAAGAAGAAAGCAATGGTTGAATGAAATTGTAAAAGACCTTCCTAAATAATAAAACCACCCCCTGGGGAGGAAAAGGAGGGAAAAAACGGCATATAAAATTGGCGGAAAGATAGCCGCAGCATGCATGCACACATCAGGCCAGAAATAGCAGGGTGTGCGGGTGGGCACATGGCAAGCACAGGGCAGGCGTGGCGGGCACATGGCGGGCACATGGCATGGCCGGCACGTGGCAGGCACATGGCAGGCACGTGGCAGGTGCGCTCTATTGATGCAGCACACATGAGAAACGGGTGGAACAAGGGCAGGAGGGCAGGCAGGCAAGCATGAGCACGCGCAGCGAGCAGTGAGCAGCACACGACGCGTAGTGCATGCACTACTGGTGGAGCGACTTTGCTAGACCACTATCCCCATGCCAACTTTCGACCATCACTCCTCGCACTGCTTCCCCTCGTTGACTTTTGAGTCGACTCAAAAGTCAACTCCTGGTGGAGCGACTTTGCTAGACCACTATCCCCATGCCACCTTTCGACCATCACTTCTCGCACTGCTCCCCCTCGTTGACTTTTGAGTCGACTCAAAAGTCAACTCCTGGTGGAGCGACTTTGCTAGACCACTATCCCCATGCCACCTTTCGACCATCACTTCTCGCACTGCTTCCCCTCGTTGACTTTTGAGTCGACTCAAAAGTCAACTCCTGGTGGAGCGACTTTGCTAGACCACTATCCCCATGCCACCTTTTGACCATCACTCCTCGCACTGCTCCCTCTACTGAACCTAACACCACTCCCTACTCTCCCCTACCCTTCCCTACCCATCTCTAACCTTCTTCACCCTTCCCTCACCTTCCCTTCCCTCCCCTACCCTTCTCTACCCCTCCCTACCCTTCCCGACCTTCTCACTCTTCTCACCCTTCTCTACCCTTCCCCAGCTACCCTACCCTGCCCCATCCCTCCCTCCCTCCCCTACACCAGGGCCGATCGGCCAACCTCTCTCCCTCCTGCGGCGGCAGCAGCAGCAGCAGCGCCAGCAGCACCATCCACACGCATCATCTTCGTTACAGGTGGCGCAGCCGGGTCGGCCGATGCTGACGTGGCGTGGCCTGCCAGCTTGGCGCGCAGCGCAGCAGCAGCCGCCTGGTTGCTCCCCCCAGACGATCCATTGGTGGTAGAAGAGGGGTTCGCGAGGGGTGTGGCGAGCAGCGCGAAGGAGTTGCGGGAGGCACTGTTCATGTCGCTGCGGCTGTACAGTCCTCCGTGGTGCGTTGGCTGCTGCGAGGCTGGCAGCTGCAAAGAGGGAGGGGAAGGGGGGGATTGGGGGGGAGATAGAGAGAGATAGAGGAACAGGGGAGGGGGGACGTGTGAAGAGGCGAGGAGGGCAAAGGAGTTGCAAGAAGCACTGTTCATGTCGCTGCGGCTGTACAGCCCCCCGTGGTGCGTTGGCTGCTGCGGGGCTGGCAGCTGCAAGGTGGGGGGGCGGGTGGGAAAGGAGAAATGGCGGGGTGTGAAGAGACAGCAGCAGCGGCGGCGGCGGTGGCGGTGGTAGAAGAGGGAAGCACTGTTCATGTCGCTGCGGCTGTATAGTCCTCCGTGGTGCGTTGGCTGCTGCGATGCTGGCAGCTGCAGGGAGGGGAGGAGGGGGAGGGGGAAAGGGGGGGAGAAACATGGAGAAGCACATGGGACATGTGAGATAGACGGGCAAGCGAGACCAAAGGGTTGCAGCCACTGGAAAATAAGGGGTAAAGAGGAACACAGGACAGGATGTATGAAGAGGAGAGTGGAGCCACGGGCTTGCACCCGCTGAGGCCCCACAAACCCTCCCCATAGCGTGTTGGCTGCTGCAAAGCTGGCAGATGCAAGGGGAAACGAGTGCAGCACCATTGAGCAATAAGTAGTGTTTTGAGACGTCTCAAAACACTACTTCTATCACGTGCTGCAAAGCTGGCAGATGCAAGGGGAAACGAGCGCAACACCATCGTGCAATATCTCAGAGCATTTCGTGTGAAGCAGTTTTAAGCGAGCAGCGAGCAGAGGGCACTGTGTGGTTGGTTGGTTGGGCACATACTGGCTGCAGGGCGGAGGAGGGCACGTTGGGGGCCGCCTCGCCTCGTCTCCCTTGCGGTACTGATCGTGCTCCTTCTGCTGCCTGTACCACACCCTCACCCTCACCCTCGCCCTCCCCCCTTACCCTCACCCTCATGTATCTGCACCACAAGTGCCACAAGCCACGTACTGGCTGCAGGGCGGAGGAGGGCACGTTGGGGGCCGCCTCGTCTCCCTTGCGGTACTGATTGCGCTCCTTCTGCTGCCTGTCTCTCACCCTCCTATCCTTCTGCCTCTGCTCATGTGCCACGCGCCAAACACGCACGCACACACACACACATGCACGCTCACCCAGTGCACACACACACACGCACATGCACGCACACACACACGCACATGCACGCACACACACACGCACATGCACACACACACACACACGCATGCACGCTCACCCGGTGCACACACACACACACACACACACACACACACACACACACACACACACACGCACATGCACGCACACACACATGCACGCACGCCCACACCCACCCACCCTCCCACCCCCGCGCGCATGCGCGCGCGCACACACTCACACACACACACACACACACACACACACACACACACACACACACACACACACACACACACACACACCATACGACACGCAGCATGCATGTCACGCGCATGGCCATGCCCATAGCAACACGTAGGGGAGGGAGTGAAGTGCATGAGCCTCATACAGATTGCTCTGTAAACCCTGCATCAACCCCATAAAGAGTGCTCTGTATGTGTATCCACTGCTTGGCTCGCACCACTCGTCACATTGCTGCCATGCCAGCACCATGCGGCCTCACACTCTTCCCTCACACCCGCCAGTGCCGCGCTGTGACTTGCACTCAGCTCAGTGCTCTCATTTCTGGGGAGCCAACGTGGAGCACGCACAGCACGCCAATCAATCGCTCTGCCCTCACTCATCTCAGCCTGCGTGCGAGCCAACCTGGTGAATGAGCTGACTTTTGAGTCGACTCAAAGCCTGCGTGCGAGCCAACCTGGTGAATGAGCTGACTTTTGAGTCGACTCAAAGCCTGCGTGCGAGCCAACCTGGTGAATGAGCTGACTTTTGAGTCGACTCAAAGCCTGCGTGCGAGCCAAGCTGGTGAATGCGAGCGCGCTTTATGAAGATGGATTGCTCGTGTATGTGCCTGGATGAGTGCAGAGCCCCACCACACGCACTGCTTGCACCACTCACCACCACTCACTACCTCTCAGCTCTGTGCTCTCAGCCTGCATGCGAGCCAAGCTGGTGAACGAGAGCGCGCTTTATGAAGATGGATTGCTCGTGCACTGCTGCCACACGCCATACACCGTGCACCACCGTGCATCATCGCACATCACCGTGCACCAAGCAACGCACCGTGCAGCTTACCTGGTGGATGTGAGCGCGCTTCATGAAGATGGACTGCTCGTGAACTGCCACCATGTGACATGAACTGCCACCATGTGACATGAACTGTGTGCACCACCAGGCCCCACCATGCCGCAAGCACCATGCACCGCACACCACCAAACACCACCATGTCGCAAGCAGCTTACCTGGTGAATGCGAGCGCGCTTCATGAAGATGGACTGCTCGTGCACCGCCACGGCCTGGATGAAATGCTCCACTCGCCGCAGATCCACCTGGGAGAGGAATGGGAGAGAAGCGAGGGGGAAAGAGAGGGGGAGGCGGGGGGCAGGGGGAGTGAGGGGGCTTCATGAAGATGGGTGCTCGTGCACTGCCACGGCCTGGATGAAATGCTCCACAGCCCACCTGTTTGCTACTAACAGCACCTACTCCACCCGCTGCAGATCCACCTGCCCACAAGAGGGGGACACGTGGGTTCCTGGGAGCATCAAATGGAGTGAGAAGGTTGGGGAAAGGAGGATGGAACAAGGGAAGGGAGGGGAGCGAGTGCGAGGGACGACCAGGGAGAAGGTGAGTGCCGTACACGCACACACACACGCACACACACGCACACACACGCACACACGCACGCACACACGCACGCACGCACCCACGCACCCACCCACACGCGCGCGCACGCACACACACACACACACACACACACACACACACGGACTCACCTTGCCGTTCTCTGTGAGGTAGCCTCACAGGTTGACTCACATACGCACGCACGTGCCACTCTCTCCCCCTCCCCCCCCTTTCTTCCTCCACACACACAGACAAACTCACCTCGCCGTTCTCTGTGAGGTAGCCCCCCAGGTTGGCGAACTCGCGGCGGTAGATGGAGACCAGCAGGTTGATGGCACCCTGAGGGATGCAAAGCACAAGAGGGAAGTAAATGCAACAATGCATGGGAGGGCAGATGGAGAGGGGGAAAACATGAGCATCACAGGGAGGGGCCAATGATTGTGCCTCAACGAACGTGACTTTGAATGCTCAAGGGATGCACACGACACGATGACCAAGTGTGCGTGACCACCTCTTACAACATGCCAACACCACACCGTTCCCACTGACACCCAGAGGATCAACGCACCTCTCTGATCTCGAGCGTGGGCATGTGCGGCAGAAAGTCATTCCCTGAGAAGAAGCACATGAAGGCCGACGCATCTCAAACCATAACAACGCACCTCTCTAATCTCGAGAGTGGGCATGTGCGGCAGGAAGTCATTCCCCACGAAGAAGCACATGAAGACAAAGTCGTCCAGCACCCTCTCTAGGTCCATTTCCACCCCTGGTACACGAAACTCCAGCTCCAGGTACTCGCGCAGCACCCAGCACTGCAGCAACTGGGAAATGGAATGAGGGATGGGGCAGTGGAAGGGGCCACAGAGAACAGCAGATGTGAAGAGCCGCCAAGTCGCTTCTCTCCACATCCATCTCCACGCCTGGGACGCGGAACTCCAGCTCCAGATACTCTCGCAGCACCCAGCGCTGCAGCAACTGGTGGTGGTGTGAGACAAGGGACGGGGCAATGGAAGGGGGCACGGGGAAGAGAAGTGGAAAACAGGCAAGTTTCTTCTCAAGGGCTCCTTGGCACGCTGCTTGCCCCTCCTTCTCGTCGTGCTCGCCCCTCTTGCGCTTCAGCTTGCCCTCGCACTCCGCCGCCAGGTGCATCGAGCACACATGCATAATGGGTGACCCATTCCCCCAACGCAAAAGCACCCACCTGTAAGTGGCTTCTTGGGTACACCCCCCTCCTTCTCGTCGTGCTCGCCCCTTTTGTGCTTCCTCTTGCCCTCACACTCCGCGTCCAAGTGAATTATGTAACCATAATGGGTCACCCATTCCCCTCACGCACAGACACCCACCTGAAACGGCTTCTTGGGTGCACCCCCGTCCTTCTCGTCGTTCTCGCCCCTCTTGCGCTTCGGCTTGCCCTCACACTCCGCCGCCAGGTGCCCCGTCTGCCCGCACAGAAAACATTTGTCCACCTGCCCGGGCTGAAACACAACCTGCTTGGCAGCCAATGGCGTGGGGTAGGAGGGTGGAAAACAAAGAGTAGTCAGGGGATTAGGAGCAAGAGAGAGAGGCAGGCAGGCAGCGTGAAAAAAGGGTGTTTTGAGACGTCTCAAAAACAAGTAGTGAGGGGATTAGGAGCAAGAGAGAGGCAGGAAGGCGGGGATACAATTGCTGATGAGGAAGGTCAGAACCAAGGGACGAGGGAAAAGACAAACGGGGAACAGGAAGGGAGTGGAGGGCGGAGAGTTGAAGACAGTGAAATGAACAATAGCAAGAGAAGGTAGGATTGGCAGATACTGCTGGCTGACAGGGCACCGCTGATGGAGAGAGGTACGATCCACAATCACAGGGTTTTAAGGGGATTGGGAAGGGGGGTGGGTTGGGTTGGGTTGGGGGGGCGGGGTGTGGGGGTGGAGGGGGGCTGACTGACAGGTCGGACCTGGCAGAAAACCATGAAAATTACAGGATGATGGGAGAATATGGGTGGCAGATACTGCTGAACTGAATGGCTGGCCATCACGGATGGAGAGATGAGATGCACGATTCAACGAGCGGGCTCTAGCAAGGCGTCTGGTTTTGAGGGGCTGGTTGAGCGCACACAGACAGTAACTAGAGTGCGACGAACACCAACCTCTCTGAGAATGGTGAAATGCACTTCGTGTGTTGCCAGGGCGAGCATGATCAGATCCGCGTCCTGCAAGGGGAAGGAAGATGAGAGAAAGCGGGAAAGGGGGAGACGAGTGGAAGGTGGAGGGAGGGGGGTATTGAGAAAGGTGGGGTCGGACAGCAAGAGAGCATGTTAGGAATGCACTTCGTGTGTTGCCAGGGCCAGCATAATTTTGAGACGTCTCAAAATGCACTTCGTGTGTTGCAAGGGCCAGCATAATTTTGAGACGTCTCAAAATGCACTTCGTGTGTTGCCAGGGCCAGCATAATCAGATCCCGTCCTGCAGGGGAAAAGGGACGGCGGTAGGGCAGAGAGGGAGGGGGGAGGGGAGGGGACAAGAGCATGAGGAACGGTCGAGTGTACTTTGTGTGTTACGAGGGGCAGCATGATCAGATGCAGGGGATGAGGACGGCGCATGCAGGGAGCGACGCGTGAGGGAGATGGAAAGAGAGGATGGAGCATGGTGGAGTGCACTTTGTGTGTTGCGAAGGGCAGCATGATCAGATTCGCGTCCTGCAGGGGATGAGGGCGGCGTAGGCAGGGAAGAAATTGTGTGGTTTTGTTGGAAAGAAAGTATGTGTTGGGGGGGGTTGGGGATAGGGAGCGGGAAAGTGGGGGAGAGGAGGATAGCAAGAGGGCATGCTGACATGCATTTCCTCTCTTGACAAGGCTACCATGGTCGGATCGGATCCGCGTGCAGTGGGAGGAAATTCACAGTCAAATGGCAGCAGGAAGGAGGGGGTGCTGGGATCTGTGATCTCGACACGGAATAAAAAGGTAGGGTTTAGGGTGCGAGGTTTAAGCGGGGGTAACGAGCAAGCTATAAACATGTCACCTACCAGTCCGTAGATGCAGTGACGTGTGTTGGGGTCGAAGCCTGGAAGGTTCCGCTGCAGGCGAATGTAGTTCATGATCTTGTGCTCTCCCTCGCCTGGCACGTTGGCGTCTGATAGAATCACCTGGTGGTGGTGGTGGTGGTGGTGGTGGTGGTGGTGGTGGTGGTGGTGGTGGTGGTGGTGGTGGTGGTGGTGGTGGTGGTGGTGGTGGTGGTGGTGGTGGTGGTGGTGGTGGTGGTGGTGGTGGTGGTGCGGAACCAAGGATGGGCAAGATAAAAGGTGTGTTTCTAAGGTCTAATAGTTCTGATCGATCCCAGTTTTCCTCTAATCTCAAATCACCCCTCCCTCTCTCTCCTCACTCGTCTCCCCTGAAACCAGAACCCTGATCCACAATCCTCGCTCAGCCTCACTTTCACAATCCATGCAGGGTCCTGGTCGATCCTGAGGTGGAGGTAGTACTGTTGCATGAAGGGCGGGCGTACCCTCTCCCCTCGCTCTCTCTACTGACTAGCCACCCTTAAACCCTGGCCCAACCCTAAAATTAACTTTCACGTTCATCCAGGTAAGGTCCGGATTAATCCTGAGGTGGTCGTAGTACTGCAGCGCGACGGACAGCTTTGAGACGTCTCAAAACTCGTCATAGTACTGCAGCGCGACGGACAGCTTTGAGACGTCTCAAAACTCGTCATAGTACTGCAGCGCGACGGACAGCTTTGAGACGTCTCAAAACTCGTCATAGTACTGCAGCGCGACGGACAGCTTTGAGACGTCTCAAAACTCGTAATAGTACTGCAGCGCGACGGACAGCTGTTGTATCAAGGGCGTGCTTATGCTCCTTCACCTCTTAACCAAAGCCCCAAACCCTGCCAAATCCTCACCTTGACATTCTTCCAGGCGGGGTCCTGATTGATCCTAAGGTGGATGTAGTACTGCAGCGCGACGGACAGCTGCTGCATGAAGGGCGTGCCGGGTGTGATGACGTTGGAGTCGACCGTCTCCGACTTCTCCTTGGGTGGCACCATGCGCCCCTCCAGCTCAAACTCCTTCCTCAGCCGCTCCTCCTCCGCTGCCTGTGTGGGGGAAGGGAGGGGAGCAAGGGGCGTGACGACGTTGGAGTCATGTGTCTCAGACTTCTCCTTGGGTGGCATCATCCGCCCCTCCAGCTCTAACTCCTTTCTGAGCCTCTCCTCCTCTGCTGCCTGTGTGTGGGGGCACGGAGGCAGGCAGGCGGACGGGCAGGAAAGCAGGCAGGGAGGAAGGGAGGGAGGCATGGGAGTTGTGCGTCTCTGACTTCTCCTTGGGCTGGGCGGCACATGCGCCCCTCCAGCTCAAACTCCTTGCGCAGCCGCTCCTCCTACGCTGCCTGCGTGGCGGAGTGGGAGGGAGGGAGGGAGAGAGGCAGGTGCAAAGGCAGGCAGGGAGGAAAAAAAGGGTGATCAGCTAGGACTGCCAGAGAACACAGGGAATCTGGGAGAAGTGGGGCGTGCCAGGAAGAAGGAAGGCAGGGCAGAACACCAATCACTGCTTATATTATATGCCCAGTGGAAGGAGCACGCACGAGTGAAGGGACGGACATCGAGGATGGCAGGGGCTACAGCGATGGGGCTATATCGAATATGTGGCTATAGCGGATAACTATAGCGGTTATGGGGCTATAACGGGTATGGGGCCATAGCTGGTATGGGGCTTTAGCAGGGAAGGGACTATAGCAGTTATGGGGCTATAGCGTGTATACTTACAGCGTCTGCTGCGTCCTTGGCTGCTCGGAATCGTCTGGAGCGCTGCTGGTTCATCTTGGCTCGCGGAGCCACACCGTCTGCAGGCAGAACGCAGGGAAAGGTAATGAAGGAGTCAGCACAGCACAGCCAGGAGTGTGCTCTGCTGAGTCGAATCGAACGTTGACTAGCGGGGCAACATCGATTGCAGGAATAGAGTCGAGAAGGGAACAGCACATGACAGTCGGGGTTGCTTGACCGAACGAACAATCAGTGATGGTTGGTTAGGCAGTGCGGATGTGTGAAGGGGCCACCCACCAATGTTTCTCTGAGTTAGAAGGACACCCAGCAGCAATAACGCTGGATTCAGTGGGGATTGACCTTAAGAGTAGAAGAAAACACCCATCAATACCCCCCAATTGAGCAGGCAACACGCACCAATGCCCATGAAGAGCACTTTGCGAGGGCGGATCATGGCGAAGAGGCGGTCAATGTAGTCAAAGATGTTCTGAAACACCTCGTGCAGGGTGGTGGGGGACGGCTGCAGGAGAGATAGTTGTAGGGAAGAGAACGGATGAAAGGAAGGAGATGGGAGGGAAAGCGTCAGGCCGAGAGGCGGTCAATGTAGTCGAAGATGTTCTGAAACACCTCGTGCAGGGTGGTGGGGGACGGCTGCAGGAGAGATAGTTGTAGGGAAGAAAACGGATGGAAGGAAGGAGATGGGAGGGAAAGCGTCAGGCCGAGGAGGCGGTCAATGTAGTCGAGGATGTTCTGAAACACCTCGTGCAGGGTGGTGGGGGACGGCTGCATGCGACAAGAATGTGGGAAAGGATAGAAGACGGGGCTTTGTGAGGAAAGAGAGCCAGGGCTGAGAGGCGGTCAATGTAGTCGAAGATGTTCTGAAACACCTCGTGCAGGGTGGTGGGGGACGGCTGCATGCGACAAGAATGTGGGAAAGGATAGAAGACGGGGCTTTGTGAGGAAAGAGAGCCAGGGCTGAGAGGCGGTCAATGTAGTCGAAGATGTTCTGAAACACCTCGTGCAGGGTGGTGGGGGACGGCTGCATGCGACAAGAATGTGGGAAAGGATAGAAGACGGGGCTTTGTGAGGAAAGAGAGCCAGGGCTGAGAGGCGGTCAATGTAGTCGAAGATGTTCTGAAACACCTCGTGCAGGGTGGTGGGGGACGGCTGCATGCGACAAGAATGTGGGAAAGGATAGAAGACGGGGCTTTGTGAGGAAAGAGAGCCAGGGCTGAGAGGCGGTCAATGTAGTCGAAGATGTTCTGAAACACCTCGTGCAGGGTGGTGGGGGACGGCTGCATGCGACAAGAATGTGGGAAAGGATAGAAGACGGGGCTTTGTGAGGAAAGAGAGCCAGGGCTGAGAGGCGGTCAATGTAGTCGAAGATGTTCTGAAACACCTCGTGCAGGGTGGTGGGGGACGGCTGCATGCGACAAGAATGTGGGAAAGGATAGAAGACGGGGCTTTGTGAGGAAAGAGAGCCAGGGCCGAGAGGCGGTCAATGTAGTCGAAGATGTTCTGAAACACCTCGTGCAGGGTGGTGGGGGACGGCTGCATGCGACAAGAATGTGGGAAAGGATAGAAGACGGGGCTTTGTGAGGAAAGAGAGCCAGGGCCGAGAGGCGGTCAATGTAGTCGAAGATGTTCTGAAACACCTCGTGCAGGGTGGTGGGGGACGGCTGCATGCGACAAGAATGTGGGAAAGGATAGAAGACGGGGCTTTGTGAGGAAAGAGAGCCAGGGCCGAGAGGCGGTCAATGTAGTCGAAGATGTTCTGAAACACCTCGTGCAGGGTGGTGGGGGACGGCTGCATGCAACAAGAATGTGGGAAAGGATAGAAGACGGGGCTTTGTGAGGAAAGAGAGCCAGGGCCGAGAGGCGGTCAATGTAGTCGAAGATGTTCTGAAACACCTCGTGCAGGGTGGTGGGGGACGGCTGCATGCGACAAGAATGTGGGAAAGGATAGAAGACGGGGCTTTGTGAGGAAAGAGAGCCAGGGCCGAGAGGCGGTCAATGTAGTCGAAGATGTTCTGAAACACCTCGTGCAGGGTGGTGGGGGACGGCTGCATGCGACAAGAATGTGGGAAAGGATAGAAGACGGGGCTTTGTGAGGAAAGAGAGCCAGGGCCGAGAGGCGGTCAATGTAGTCGAAGATGTTCTGAAACACCTCGTGCAGGGTGGTGGGGGACGGCTGCATGCGACAAGAATGTGGGAAAGGATAGAAGACGGGGCTTTGTGAGGAAAGAGAGCCAGGGCCGAGAGGCGGTCAATGTAGTCGAAGATGTTCTGAAACACCTCGTGCAGGGTGGTGGGGGACGGCTGCATGCGACAAGAATGTGGGAAAGGATAGAAGACGGGGCTTTGTGAGGAAAGAGAGCCAGGGCCGAGAGGCGGTCAATGTAGTCGAAGATGTTCTGAAACACCTCGTGCAGGGTGGTGGGGGACGGCTGCATGCGACAAGAATGTGGGAAAGGATAGAAGACGGGGCTTTGTGAGGAAAGAGAGCCAGGGCCGAGAGGCGGTCAATGTAGTCGAAGATGTTCTGAAACACCTCGTGCAGGGTGGTGGGGGACGGCTGCATGCGACAAGAATGTGGGAAAGGATAGAAGACGGGGCTTTGTGAGGAAAGAGAGCCAGGGCCGAGAGGCGGTCAATGTAGTCGAAGATGTTCTGAAACACCTCGTGCAGGGTGGTGGGGGACGGCTGCATGCGACAAGAATGTGGGAAAGGATAGAAGACGGGGCTTTGTGAGGAAAGAGAGCCAGGGCCGAGAGGCGGTCAATGTAGTCGAAGATGTTCTGAAACACCTCGTGCAGGGTGGTGGGGGACGGCTGCATGCGACAAGAATGTGGGAAAGGATAGAAGACGGGGCTTTGTGAGGAAAGAGAGCCAGGGCCGAGAGGCGGTCAATGTAGTCGAAGATGTTCTGAAACACCTCGTGCAGGGTGGTGGGGGACGGCTGCATGCGACAAGAATGTGGGAAAGGATAGAAGACGGGGCTTTGTGAGGAAAGAGAGCCAGGGCCGAGAGGCGGTCAATGTAGTCGAAGATGTTCTGAAACACCTCGTGCAGGGTGGTGGGGGACGGCTGCATGCGACAAGGGTGTGGAGAAGAGAAAGGATGGATGGGGAGGAGATGGGAGGAAAAAATCCAGGTCAAACAAGCGGTCAATGTAGTCAAAGATGTTCTGAAACACCTCATGCAGGGTGGCGGGGACGGCTGCAGGCAAGACAGGGGGAGCAAAGATGGACGGGGAGGAAGGCATTGTGAGGGGCGAGAGCCAGGTCAGCAAGGCATCAAGGTGTTCTAAAACACCACGTGCAGGTTCGTGGGGGACGACTGCAGGAGAGAAGGGTGAGGGAAGCGAAAGGATGGAAGGGGAGAAGACGTGAGGGAAAGAACCAGGTAAAAGAGAAGGCCTAGGCAGTCGAAGATGTACTGGAACACCTCGTGCAAGATCGTGAGTGAGGAACGGATGCAGTTGACAAAGAGAGAGGGTGCGAGGAGGGGAAGAAACGTGAGGGCAGCAAAGGTCGACGGACAAGCGATGCCATGCCATCAGAAATATTCAGAGGCTCGTGTGACGCGTACAGTAATGCCATGAGGTTGTGAAATGGCGAGCTCTTTGGTCATGCCCATGCTTATGCCTTTGCAGATATTACGTGAGAACCCATCAAGAGTCGACGCGGAACATGCCTAAGGACTCGATGACACCTAGTACGGTAACACCTTCCTCCCGCAGGCGCGACCCCCCAACGAAACGTCACTAACATCATCACGAAACGCTATCACGTTGAGTGAACAACTACGTTCTACAGCACAGATTGACAGACACAGTTGGAATAACTGAACGACTTGCTTATCCTCTACCGGAATCGCTATCTGGTCGCCACAACATACTCGCGCAGTCGCCGGCGTGGACGTAGCAGAGATTAATGCCACATATGTCCAAGTGCACATGCCCAATTCGCAAAATATGATAAATCGCACCTAGGGTAACTCGCAGTAGATTAACTCCCCGTTAGGGTGCCTTGCCGTTAGGGCATCTCGCCGTTATTATGGCGACTCGCCGTTAGGGAGATTCGGGTCGCCGGCCAAACTCCCCTCAACCGTGTTCATTCTCAAGGCGTCTCAAATGACTTACACGATCGTCGGGGTGAAAGCACGGGTGAGTGGTGCCGTTCAAGCCTATAAACGATCGCCGTTAGGGGGACTCGCGGTTCGACGATAAAAAATACCCTCGGCCGTAATACCTCTCTAGGCGTCTCCCAGGGCTTACACGATCGTCGGGGTAGAACGCACAGGTGGATGATGCCGCTCATGACCAAATACAGACGTTCAGCTCGCCGTTAGAGGCATTCGCCGTGCGTCGATCACACTACCTAATAGCTATTCTCCAATCCGCAGTTGAAAAAAAAAAAGCCGTTCGTCATTCAAAATCTCTTCCCAACCCTGTTTGCTCCTAAGAAGTCCGACGGACTTACACGATCTTCCGGGTGGAAGCACGGGTGGATGATGGCGTTCATGTCAAAAAACAAAGTATCGAGCTCGTCATCAGAAAAACTCGCGGCTCGCCAGTGAAATTCCTTAGACCCTGTTTCACTCTCAAAGGAGCACGGCTCGCAGTCGAATGACTTACACGATCTTCGGGGTGGAAACACAGGTGGATAATGCCGTTCAGGCCGAGGTATAAATTGTCGAACTCGCCGCTAAAAAGACTCTCGGCTCGCCGTTCCGAATTCCCCTCAAACGCGTTAACGCGTACAGCGTCTAGAAGGACTTACGCGATCTTCGGGGTGGAAGCACGGATGAATGATGCCGTTCATGTCGAGGTACAGATTGTCGAACTCGCCGTTAGGGTTCGCTTCCACCGTGTTCACCGGTACCGTCACGCCGTCGATCACCTGCGGCTCCTCTTCAATCACATCCACTATAATCAACGGATACTTGTCCGCCAACCAGCGGTAAAACGCTGGAACACCCATCGCGCGCGAATCACCGAACGTAACCCTGCTACACCCCCGCCTCTGTAATTCGTCTCAACGACTAAATAATGCACAGCAGATCGGCACGACAAGTAGAGACACGAAACCAAAAGCTAATCTACGTCTACGTATCTATCAACCAGCTCGCGGCTGGAGTGGAGAACGCAACTGGCGCCGCACGAAGGGAGAAAACTGGATCGAAGTAGGAAAGTACGGGAATATGGAGTTACGTCGCGAGTTTGATCAAGTTGGACCAGGGTTTGGTAGGGAGAGATACTGCTGGAGCAAAAGGGGAAGGTTGGGAGAAAAGTGAAGATACGGGTCATGGAACGGATGTGAGGAGAATTGGACGGCCAGATATTTTCACGAGGCGATCCGACAAGTTTCGGCCGACAGATAAGAAAAGGTCAATCAGATCTACACTTTTGTGCCGAACCAAACCGCTGGATTAGCGTGTGCACCATTCTACTTTCTCTTGTTTGTTGCGTTTTACATCACTCCATCCATTCAATGCCCAAACCAAACCCAAGGGCAAGGTTTCACATCTTCCCCCAGCTGCCCACGTCAGCGTAGGCGATCAACGAACAAGGTTGCGTTAGGACGCGGTAAAGGTGGAGAATCGATCGCCTCAGAATCGTTTTTTAGCGCGGTTGTAAACGGTTTTGTACTTTTCGTATGCAAAACGCGGGGTTTCAGTGCGGTGACCGGATCGATCTCCCCCTGATCAAGCACGTTTACCGCGTCCTTAGGAACGTCAGTAGGTATTAGATGCTTATGTGAGTGCTTAAATGATAGTCGTGATGT